TCTCTCTCTCTCTCACACACACACTAGATTTCTACCGGGTCTGGGGGTTGAAACTTCCCGAAATCACAAAAGAGTTCCCCTACCGGGTCTGTATACTTCGTGACTTTGTTCCCGGTTACCGGGTCTGTATACACTTCGTTGATTTAATTGTCACAGCATCACTGTCGCAATTAATGCTACCTTTTTTTAGACAACATGACATGGCTAAATATATCAAGATTGTTCTGCACACACAGAAACCTAGGCTAGATCTAGATTTAGATATCAAGGCCTAGATCTAGATCTAGATCTAGATTCTAGGCCTCGTTAACTTAGGCTTAGGCGAGCAAAGCAAAGTAAAGCAGCAGGAGAGTGCAATTTAAGCAAAGAAAACAAGTTTTAACAAGGCAGAGAATCTAGATTCTAGATTAGTCAGGCCTTGCTAACTCAGACAAATATAGAATAGATATTCTCATATTATTATAAAAAGGAAACAGAAGGACAGAAAGAGGCACAAGATCTGGATCTACAACAGTCAATAGACCTTAGTAATTTTGTTAGAATTTAGGCAGCTTGAATCTTTCGATGTGTTTTGTTTCGTATCTTTATTCCAAGATTTGCCGAACCAATTCCTAAACAGTGCAAAAATATATCATGGACAACAAGGTTGAAAAGCGCTTTTAAAGTCACAACTTGTGACCCTCATACTACAATAACTACGATCATTCATTGAAATCTGAATTTCACAATAAAATCGCCGAAACTAGAGAGACAATAAAGTACCTGTTCAGCTCGAACGAAAGCTGGGAAGGGCTATCCATACACATACAACGCCAAAAGGCGCATGTTCCCATTTGGCGTACGCGCGTATGATCAAAATCAATCTATGCATGTCGAAGTACACATTTTCAAGGAACTACACAACACTTTCCATTGCTGTATTGAAAGGACACAGCACCTTGGCTCACCAGGTTATTCGTCTGGGGCCTACAACATATCCACAGTGCAACACACTTTCCTTCTCTTGAGCCACACAAAGATTAGGTCAGTCTTGTTCGCCAAAAACCAAAATTTCGCCCCGGAAACGTAGAACATTTGGGTGAGCGCCATCTGGGGATAAATTTAGTTCCATAAGGGGAAATAATGCTGGACAAATGACTATTGTGTCACGTGACTTTGTTCTATTTCCCAGAATCTCTGTCACTTCCGTTTTTAGTTTTACCGCCCTGAAAATTTCAAATATAACATATAATGTAGTACAATTTACAGTGAAATTTGAAATTTGAAGGTAAAAGATATGAGGCTTGAAAATTGAACAATTAGATCTACTTTTAAAAAATATTCTTGAACCTGTTTTGATAGCAATTGGCATTTTTTTTAAAAATATAAAACAAAAATGTCTCTAAAATTTGCCCAAATATAGTGCCCTCTGTAAATGTATTCCTAATGGTGACACAATAAACCCATTTCCTGTAGGCCTACCTACATTCTTTCTAAATATTATTATTTACCACTTAGTTATCTACAATATGTAAAGGGGGCTCTGGTGACCTAGAGGTTAAGGCGTTGGCCTTTCATTCAAAGGTCCCGGTTTCGAATCCGGGTAGCGACCGGAAATTTTTCTAATCTAAAATTGTCTCCTTTCACCTCCTTTCCTGCTCTCTAGCAATGTTCTATTGTCTGCTTTCGTTTCCACTTTCTACCCCACCCCCTCACCTCCTTTGCCCCCTCCTCTGGGCTCCTACTCTTTCTGCAGCCTTTCTACTGCTACTCCTTGGCTCCTCCTTACTGCTGTCTTTCTGCCACACCCCTGATCTTCTGGTAGGACAGATCTACACCTAGCCTTCTTGGACAAGGGCGAAAAATCTCGGAGGGCCCGTGTGTAAGTTGCGCACGTTAAAGATCTCTTGGTGGTCTAAAATCGATAAGAGTAGGCTTCGGCCGCCACCCGGGCAATATTCTAAATTTCCTACCAACTGAAAATGTTTAATGTGTCCCGCGCGCTCATATGACCTTATGCAGTTGCGAGCGCCGTAAAAGCACTTACCAAACAAACAAACAAACAATATGTAAATAGATCTAATGCAATAATATTTGAAAAAAAATCTCCCCCCTCCCTCCCTCTCTGTCTGTCTGTCTGTCTGTCTGTCTGTCTGTCTGTCTGTCTGTCTGTCTGTCTGTCTCTCTCTCTCTCTCTCTCTCTCTCTCTCTCTCTCTCTCTCTCTCTCTCTCTCCCCTCTCTCTCTCACACACACACACATACACACATACACACACACACACACACACACACACACACACACACACACACACACACACACACACATACACACACACACTGAAATCTGAGGTGTAATAGTTAGGTTCTTCGTCCTTGCCTCGAGGGGAATGTTATTCATTGGTCATTGTTTCAGGAAGCAACATCCCTGCTCTCCGGGCATGTCCATTGAGGCTCCGTTGCTCTCTCCAAAATGTCGCCGAGAGTCTTTCCACTGATTGTGCCAGTGCATATCTGGTTGAACGTTCTTCTGTTCTTTCCTGCAAGGATACCAGATTTTCCGCTTCCTTTTTGTATTCCCAAAAGCAAAATCCTCTCCACGGCAGTTCTGGCCTCTGCCTCCCTATCTTCCTCATCAAACAGCTGGCGAGAGAGACATTTCAGGATCTCGACCCTATCTGGATGAACTGTGTTGTCAACTAAGGAGGCCTCACCAGCCAATCTGTTGGCTTTTTCATTTCCCCTAACACCTGCATGGCCAGGGCAGAAAATCCATGTGAGCGATCGTATAGGCGTTGGTTCGATAGCTTGAATCCATTCTGTTCTCATGAAACCTTTTTCGATCCTTCAGAGGGCACACATGGAATCAGAGATAAGAACAGCATGGGTTGTGTGGGGGCGATCTTGGGTCATCCAATCAAGAGCTTCCGTGATTGCTTCAATTCCCATTCGCATACTTGATGTAGCCCTGCTGCAGGCTCCTGATGCACTGTGTATGATTTTATTGTGGGCGAATGCAATAAATGCCCATCCACTTCGCTGGCTATCTCTTTTCATTGAACCATCTGTATAAATTACAGGATCCCCTGCTTTTGAGTTTGTTTCAACAATCTCGTTGATATCGCTATCGTAGATGGAAGCCGCAACATTTCTTCTGTCTCTGCCCATGCTTATTTTGACCTTGGTGAGGTCCCTGTATTCTCCCGCCACCTGTTCCCATTCTTTGCCGGCTCTCAGGTACACATATTTTTCTCAGGGAATCCTCTGCTTCCGCCATCCAAGATTTTCCTCTTTTGATTCTTCCTCTCTTGTTGTCATGAAGTGCTTTATGAAGTGGATTGTCCTTCTTGCCCAATACCCTGAGATTCATCTTTGAGCTATCCTATGGCGTACTCTGATGCCATTTGAACCTAGAAATTAGCACATGCACAATATTGGAGTGTCCTTGGTGCAGCCCAGAACTGGCCTCATTGTCTCATCCTGCACTCGATCCAGCTTTTCCATCTGAGTGTCGTGCAGCGTGAGACAGCCCAATCCGTAATCAATGACAGACAGGACGACCAGCTACAACATCAGGAAGAGCACTCTTTGCGGAATCAGACCGGCTGCTATGGTCTAGATAGCACCAACACCTCGTTTGGCCTTTGTGACCACTTGATTCACATGCTTGTTGAAGGACAACGACCTGTCGATGACGATTCCCAGATACTTCAGCTCTGACTGTCAGTTGATAATCTCATAGTTGCAAGTGATTGGAGGAGTATGTCTTTGACAATCCTGTTGTCGAGGGAACATCAAAGTACCTGTGCCTTTGAAGGATTGATAACTGCTTCATTTTGGTCCCACCATTCTGCAACTGAGTGAAGTCTTTTCTCCATGTTACTTGCCATCTGAAGTCTGTCATTTCCGTGCTCGTATGCCATTATGTCATCCTCAAAGCTCAGGACACGTCCAGATTCCTTCTGATGCATCGTTACCTGTGCGGTGTGTACTCATTGAAAAGCAGCCCAGGAGCAATTGATACCGAATCTGAAGTCCATTCACCTTGCCCCATGGCCATTTTTCTCTCCACTAGGGCTGCTGCTACCCATTTCACCAGCCATATGTCCACATCAAATTCCAGGACGCGGTCGATCAAACGTTCATTGTCGACTCGGTTGTAAGCATCCTCAAAGTTAAGTGCCGTCACAACTGTTTCCTTCCGCTGCTGAAAGCCTTCATAGATGTCGTACGCCATGACAACCGCATTCACTGCAGTTTCTCGATGTGGTCTATAGCTCCCAAGCTCATTTGGCAACACGGACTTCCTCTCTAAGTGTTCTGATATTCGTCCGGCAACGATCTTTTCCAGAATTTTCCCATATGTGTTCTGCATGGCTATGATCCTGTAACCACACAGAGCTGAGTGGTCTTTTCCTGGTTTGGGGATTGGTATCAACCAGCTGTGCAACCATTCTTCAGGGATTTCACCAGTGCCAATGCTCTTGTTGACGTCTTTTGCCATTTCTTCAATCATCCCATCATCTGCTTCTTTCATGTGGAAATATCTTACACCATCCGGCCCTCCTGCACTGTCTTTGGCATGTTTTATTGTTCTGGAAATCTCTTCTGTAGATATCGCATCCTCGTAGTTTGCATACATATCAGGTGTCAGCAAACTGGAAACATCTCTTTCAACTTCCTTTCTTGAGTCAATATTTCCCTGGTGTGTTTGATGGATGAATCGGTCCAAGAAAGCCCTTCCTTTCTCCTCATCAGTTTGGAGTGTCTTTCCTGACTCGTCCTTCCCATTCACGGTGGTTTTTGAGTGACTCTGTCTACACACCTTCTTTCGCAGTTGCCAGAACGTTGAGAGTGCATTCTCAGCTGCAACGTTTTTTACAAACTCTTCCCACTTTGCCGTTTTGGCCAGATGTGCTTCAGCTTCGAACTTATCCCGAGCCTGCCTCATCTTCTCTTTAGCTGCCTCCCTTTCTTCCTCAGTGACATAGGGTTTCTTCCTCTTTCTTTGCCTCTCCTTAACAGCATTCCTCTTCTCTTTCCACAGGCAATCAATTTCATTGCTCCACCATGGTAGCTGCATAACATTAGATATTGAGGGTCTTCTGTTCCAGGTCTTCTTTCTCAGGCCTCCCAAGACCGAGGTGTCTGGTTTGTATTTTTACACCCTCTTGACCTTTTGTCTCACTATCTTTCCTCCCTTTGATATAAGAACTGAGCATGGCAGGTGGTCACAACCGTGATCTGCCAGTACACTCCAGTGTGTAAAAGCTTCGCCACCTGTTTTGATCTGTGCCAGATCAATATTTGAGTCCTGTTTACCAGTTCTTTGAGATAGTCTTGTCACGGTGGAAATGTTGAGGATGAGGAGATCACTTTCAATCAACTTGCTGTCCAAAGCCTTTCCCTAACCATTTTCGTTGGCATTGTCCCAGGTCGAGCTTCTGGCATTAAAGTCCCCAACGATTAGGACAACATCTCCAAGATCGCAAAGCTCATGGAGAAACTCCCAGTCATCTTCCTTGACAAGTTTTCCACCTCCAGCATATAGAGTAACAGTGACCCATGACCTGTTGCAGATTGTTAGCTCGAGTGCTTGTAGCTCCTTGTCCTCCTTGTCCCATGCAGTGACGTCTTTTACCCGGTGCTAGGTACCATTCCTAACAAGTGTGGCCAGTCCATGATGAGTGTGGCTGATGTATGACGTGTACCCAGGACATGACAAGGTTTTAGCATTGGTTTCCTGCAGAAAAAAAAGAGGTCAAAGTCATATGCGAGCTTTTCCAGTTCTCTTCCTCTTTTCCTACCACTGCTGCAATTCCAATAGCCAATGCAGACGTTTTTCATTTTGAGCCTGTCTGTTTTTCCCTGATTTTTCCTTTTCCCTGCCCTTCTTTTTCTGGCTCATCCTCTCTTTCCTCTCCTCTTTCTCCCCCCCCCCCCCCCCCCCCCCCCGCCCTCGCGCCTCAGTCCCCAGCAACGATTCTTGAGAAAGCGTCACCTAAAGGAGCGTGTTCTTCGTCGCTCCTTCGTCGTTTCCTTTTTTGATTTTTAAACTTTTACTCTTTCCTTTGTTTTTCTAAGGTAGGGAAGAAA